TTTCGCCCGTTAAACCCAGTCATTGCATGACGAGTGGATCGCTCAGTCGAGAAGTATGAACGCACCCTAGCCTTGAGTGAACTAACTGGGAATACCAATCTGCGAGCGATGCCGTACGGATTTTCTGAACTGTACCCATCCAACTGTAGCTCGGTCTTGAATCATCACGAAAAAGACTGAACATCTACTGTATGGCCCTCCTTTTTCGGGAAATACCACGATTATCATATGGAAATGCACACATGAAGATTCATGTGAAATAATCAATATCTCAGATCTCTGAAAAGAAAGGAGAACACGTTTCCATCACGTCGAAAAGTGCACGAAGGGAAGTTCGGGGGGTTTTTATGGGGAAAATTATGGGAGACGGTGGCGAAGCGAGTCTGTTGCCAACAGGTCGTGATTATGGTACCGCGCTGAACTTGATGTACCTGCGGTCGGGCCACGGCGGCTTAGAACTACTCGTTCATTTCTATGTTTTTTGTTCGGAGTTTGGCCGTCACTTATTTCATATTATGGCTGCCATCGAATTTTGCTAAGCTGAGCCCGTACCCAAAGCTCTTGCTAATATCATTCGATGGATTCCGTTATGATCTACTTAATGAGACTTGGGTGAGTTTGAATCATTCATGTATTTTCATGTCATTTTCATTACCATACTGATCATTTTTAAAACACCGATCAACTCCAGCTTCTGCTACCTCAAAACTCAGCAAAAACTTTGCGTATGCTGGTTATTCAATGCCCTGATCCCCAGTATAACATCCTTTTTTGACGCTGCCGCCATTTGGCCCCTCCACTTTTTCACCGAAATCGGTTCAAACTTGCATACTGGGGCTAGGTGCGCTGATCACGGCTATGAGATTAATTTTTAGCCCTGGCGCCAGTTGACGCCACACCATTTTCCACTGAAATAAAAAATCCACATCAAAAACCTGCACAGCAGGAATGTTTAGACCCTTGATCACGCATATTGCACTCATTTTTCGATTTAGCGCTCTGCTAGGACTGAGCCTGGGAAGAGGAGTGATTCCCTTAACGCCAAGTTCAGCACTAATCAGGGTACGCCATCGTTGTGATCATCACAAGGAGGGGGGGGTCGTATTTGGTCAGTTCACGGACGCACTACTATTTCCGACACTTGAAAATGATAGTTTATTTCTGACGACCTCCCCCGCTCGACGGCTCGGTTCGATGAGGAAGGACAGAGGCTGGGAGGGGAGGGGGTCGTATTTTAGTATGGAATTAGGGAGGTCGCCATTTTCAGAAAATGATCACAACGAGAAGGCGTGCCCTGGCACTAATAGAGCGCAGATGACGGCCGGTGGTGTCTTCATAGCGCCCTAGTCTAAAACGATTGTCATTTTCGTGATCAGGGTGTCATTCAATCCTGCCATCTTTCCTCTATCCTGCAAACTCTCACCGATTCGGTGAAGAAGGTGTTCGCGCCAAGTTGCCGCCTTTCGGCGCTATAGGTGCCAGCGCCAGAAATAAATGTCATAAATGTCATATTTGTGGTCAGGACACCGAATAACACCTGTGGGCAGAGTTTCAGCGAATTTTTTTGGTTTTTATAGTAGGAATAGTGAGATCGAGCCTTTTTCCTGTTTTCAATTGATTTTACTATATCAGCATGATTTGCACACAATCCAATTACAAGAATAATGCAAAATCTTATGAAAGGAGGCGCTTTGAAGAAATCCTCACTAATGACGTCAAATCCCCAATAAATCTCCTAGACGGTATAATCGTAGACAATCCATTTCAGACTCCTAACATCTACAAATGGGCAAATCGTTCGTCATGGTTTGTTAATGGAGTAAAATCTCAATATGTTACTTATACAGCGCCCAATCATATGAGTATTGTTACAGGTAAGACAGTAAAATTCACTTTTTTATCTTCATAGAAAACTACTTTGTCCAGTACTCCAGACTGATTCCACGGTCCGGAAAAAGCACATCATCGCGTTGTGCAAAATGACAGCATCTGTACGCGTTCAAACTTCGCGAAGACCCGCGTCGACGCGCTGTAACGCGCGGGCGCGCTACAATCGCAACAGTGCTCCGATCCTGTAGACGCGAGCGCAGTCTCAGAAGGGAATCCCATCGGCGCCGTCTGCTTGTGTGTCAGAAGGATAGAGGATGGTGGAGACCACATGCTACCTCCACACAATCTGTTACTCTCTCTCCTTTTTTCTATACTCTCCGATGGATGCTAGGCTGTGTGATTTCAACGCGTACCCTCCCTGCCCCCATGCTGTTCCAATACGTAAGCGGCAGGCGCCCATCCACCCATTCTGCGCTTGCGTTCACGTCCACAGCTTTGGGAGCTGTTGCAAGTGTAGCGCGCCATTGCGAAGTCTGAATGCTGCCCTAGTGGTCGGTCGTACAGCCGTAGAAGTTTCTCATTGCTTTTGGTGTTGTAATTCCAGCGTAGGCCCAGCGCCAAATACAGACCAAAACTGACGCTCTACAAAAGTGATCTTTTTCACTGTCGTGTTGAATCTTGAAAAAGTTTGTTTATTTCATTCTAGGATTACATGAACCAGATCACGGGATTGTCTCGAATTACTTTTATGACACTGCAAACTGGAAATTGTAAGTGCCCATCTATTTTCTCGCTTAAAGCTAGTGTTTCTAATAGTTTCCTTTCAGTTTTGATTACTTTAATAGCACCCAACAAGAGGGCATAGTGAACGCGTCGCTGGACATGTCATGGTACAAAGGTGATCCTATTTGGCTTACCAATGAGAGGTGAGCTTTCGTTTTTCAATCACAGTCTTATTCTTTCAGAATACGGTCATACTCGCAATCTGGTCGCTTTGATCGCGCGCAGTCGGTGTTTATAGCTTCCTTCGCGCTGTTAGAGCGACCAGATCGTGAATAGCAAGCATTTTGAATACATACTTCACGATTAAGTAGCGCCCATAGCTTGCGACTGAGGAGATTTGGCGATTTGGGAGATTGCGTGACGAGGACAGTATAGTTGTCGATCTGGCGATTAGGGAGATTGAGCGACTACCGCGATTTGGGAGACTCGGCGATTGCGCGCCTAAAGCAGCGAGTCGGTATGGCCAGTTCGCCGATTAGCGATCGGCGCCGATTGATACTCATCTACTTCTTCTACACGCAATCGCCGAAAACGCCAATTCTCCCAAATCGCAGAGTCGCTCAATCTCCCCAATCGCCAGATCGATACCTGAGCTTTCCTCGCTGCGCAAGCTCACAAGTCGCCGAATCTTCTCACCATCAGTCGCAGGCTGTGGACCCGGCCGCGGTCAACACGAACTAGTGGCTCTGTGTGAGGCTACCGCGCAGAGTCAAGCATCAAATCGCGGAAATTGAGGGCGAGGCGGAGGTTGGTGCGCCAAAATCACATTGAGCCTTATTAAGGCTGCTCTTCTTTTCTTTTCCTTTCTTATTGGTTAGTCTTTTAACCCCCTCATTTGCTACGTAAACTCGCTACGTACTGCAGTCGCAAAATGTGACTTCAAAATACGTAGTGTTATAGATGCTGTCCATTGGAGTGCAGTGGGGTCATACCTTAAGTGACGAGTTCTGGCAAATCGCCAGTTCCCGTAAAAAAACAGCTTACCATTCTTATCAGTATTATCAGCATGTCATGACGTGGGACAAGCGTGTGCAAATAATAATAACGATTCCGGCGCAGTTCGGCTTGTTGGGGGTACCGAATGATTTTTAGCGACGCGAACTGGTGGAGACCTGTTGCTTCAAGTCCTGTAACCAGAATGGTTCACTTGTAATTTTCGCAGCTTTAAGAGTTTACAGGTCGAGACCTGTCACTTAACATGATTTAGAAGATGCAAGTAGTAAAAAAGGAATCCTCCCCTTAAGCCGGACAGCGTCATAATTCCAGAGTATCCTCTTAAGGTCTGATGCTGCTCGTCGATCGGTTTCATTTTACTGGCCAAATGGCGAGGCGCCGTTCCCTAAGCCACCCCACAAACCATCGCTCTACAGGTAATTTTTATTTTTTTCCACTCAGTTTGTCCACCTATAAAGCATTCTTCCTTCTATATCAACCTTTCACATCCCATTTAACTGTAATTGATTTGTGTTGAGGGAATGGAAAAATTATCGCAGTCTTCAACAGTGGATGGTCGATGTTGATGACATTGTTAAATTGTTCACCGATGAAAAGGACCCCATCAATTTTCTTGCTTGGTGCGTTTTCACGATTACCTACAATATCCTCTGATTATGGCGCCACTGAAGTTGAGAGGAGGTTGCGTAAGGCTGTTCTTCTGTGTCCTTTCAGGAAGATAGTGATTCGGGAAACGGCCAAGGCAATCGTAATTCGCCGCCCCGTCACGCGCGGCAATAGCGTTTTTTTTTTAGTTTGCGTTAGCCTGCCGATCCGAATACCGTGTTCAGGTAGACTACGGCATTGTAGACCTTTGTGGCTATTTTCTGTTCTAAATTGTCTACCGTTGCCATCTGCGACTCAGAACGACTATACAAATGATGTTGTGTTCTGTTGCATTACCTGGTTTTAGTTTTATTTGCGTTGTAAGTTTTATTGTTGAATGTGCTCTGTCACGTCAACCGAATAAACGAAAGAAACATAGTCATTTGGGGGCGCGGCGTCGCACGCGACGCCCGTCAGTGCGGCGAATTACGATTGCCTTGTCACAAACCCTGATCCCTTTCCTTCGCCAAGTTCAACCTTGACTATCTCCCCTTGGGCACAGATGAGCGGACTTAGTTGTGTCGTAATGTATTCCATTCTACTATGATAACGTTTCTTAGTTTTCATTTTTGAAGGTACATAGCTGAGCCAGATCATACTCTTCATAAAAACGGGTTTTATAATGGCGAATTGCGGAAGATTATCCATCAACTTGATGAGCTGTTCGGTTATCTTGTTGCCAAACTTCATGAGTCCGGTTTGGAAGATGTCGTCAACGTGATATTAACAGCTGATCACGGTCACGCTGAGGTAATCGGAGGTGTCGTCAG